GATGAGTGTAAACTGTAGAGTCCTGGCCTGTAGATGAGTGTAAACTGCAGTCCTGGTCTGTAGATGAGTGTAAACTGCAGTCCTGGTCTGTAGATGAGTGTAAACTGCAGAGTCCCAACCTGTAGATGAGTGTAAACAGCAGAATCCTGGCTTGTAGATGAGTGTAAACTGTAGAGTCCTGGCTTGTAGATGAGTGTAAACTGCAGTCCTGGTCTATAGATGAGTGTAAACTGCAGAGTCCCAAACTGTAGATGAATGTAAACTGCAGAGTCCTGGTCTGCAGATGAGTGTAAACTGCAGAGTCCTGACCTGTAGATGAGTGTAAACTGCAGAGTCCTGGGCTGTAGATGAGTGTAAACTGCAGAGTCCTGACCTGACGATGTAGCTCGTCTGTGTTGGACCATGCCTCTGAACAGTGGCTGCTTAGTTTCCCCGATCTATAACTGATCACAGTCCTCCTGGCACTTAACAGCATACACAACATTACTCTGTGCCAGGGGACTGCATCTATTTCTTCATTCTTATTTTTTCTTTTGGATTTTTCTACCTGGATTACTGAGATGCATCAGGACTGTTTTCCTGGTGTTTATTCTGGGGGCTGATACAACAGATATGGATTATACAGGCAGATCAGGTCTTAGAGGTTATAGTGTTCTCAGTTTTTTTTTCAGTGATTTTTGTTCAACCGTAACACAGAAACAGCTGCACCGATCAACATGAAGTTTGGTAAGAATGTGGATGAGTCCGACCTACTCTGCGCCAACCAACGGTTTGATGATAGACCCCATATTTGAGGAGGGGGCTCCATCTGAAAAGGGTGTCTGGACATACAAAAATGCTTATAACTCAAAAACAATTCATCATAGGAGCTTCAGACGTTTTTTATTGTTTAGCTCTGATGAAGGGCTATCCACGTGGCCCACCAATGAGCACCCCTGTTCTGGTGATCTCTGGGTTCTGGTGGTGCTTTGCGGTGCTCATATATGCTACTGCTATGCGGCATCTAGTTTAACAAACTGATGATGGTTGGGGCTTCAAAGCAAAGAGGTTTAATACAGACATATGTGCGCACCACTATTAAAATTTGTACGCATTTCAAACATTAGTGAAACATTTTTCCACATTTACCTTTGTAAACTTAAGTAAAAATGAAGATGAATCCAAGACAGAATTAGTATTAAATCACAGGATATATTTAATGAAAGGAAAAACTGCCATACACTATTTGTGATTAGACAATTAAGGCAACTAATAGCTAATTTCAGAAGTACTTTATTTTTATTTATTTTTTTGTAAAATGCAGCAGTCTAAATTCGTGGTACATGAGTTTGGACATTTAAAGGGTTTAAATAATCTCCATTGTTTTGAAAATTTCTCCAGCAGCGCCACCAGAATGGCAAACTGTGTCCAGTTCGCAGTGTTTGCCTCATTACCTTCCTTTTATTTATTCATTTAGTCACTTATTTATTTATTTTCGTCTCCTTGGCTTTGCCCCGGTTCCACCTTTGAGCAAATGACCGGCCGCAGCAGGGAAATAAAGGCAGTAATAAGGCACGGCGGAGCAGTTTGTTCACAGCATCTGGATTCTGTTGCACA